CAGCAATGCCCAAATGTAGGGCTGCTTGGTTAGCCTGGCTCCCAGAGTAAGGATGACAATGATCAGAGCTGCAGCCAACTTGTGATGGGCATGTGGCATGAGTGAGAAATAGATTCTATAAGGCACTGCATTTCCAAGGGTCATGCATTGCTGCAACACAACCTAGTCCATTCTGGCTGATACAGAGTCCTCATGTTTTGAGGACAGAACGAGATAGCACCTGTAAAGTGTTTAACTACAACCAGCTGGCATACAGGGATGGAGCAGTAGGGATAAGTGAGGTTATGTTACAGTAGCAAATAACCCACAAATCTCGGTGACCAAACACAGCACATGTTTATTTCTCACTCACACTGCACATTTAATGTGGTCCCTGTTCTTTGTAATCATTCAAAGGTAAAGCCATGATCAAGATAAAGATTATGGTTTTATCTTGACATTTGCTTTTTCAAGACACTAAGTCAGGAGGAAAAAAAAAAATCTGGCAAACCACACTCAGGCTTTTAAAGTTCTAACTCAGAAGAGACACCAGTCACTTTCTTTACATTTCACTACACCTTCTTATGACTATGCCTAATTTTTGAGGGGACAGGAAGTGCAAATCTATCCAGTACGCAGGAGGCGGTGGTAAGCAGGACATGTGAGGTCAGCACGAAGACCTCCCTGTGGCCATGCAATGAATGGGAGCTGCTGTCAGAGTTACTGTTCATGATGACATTTAGGTTGATTCCAAATGGAGACAAATGGATGTGGGAATGGCATTCTAGGCAGGGGACAAGCATGTGCAAATGCACAGAGTCTTGAAAGGACCAGCCTTGTTCAGAAAATTGCAGAACAGGTCGAGCAAACAGGGAATTGGCTAGAGATGCAGTTTGGGACCACATTACAAAGACCTTAGAATTTAGACTTTAGCGTGTAGAAGCTGGGAGCCTTGAAACATTTTAAGCAGGAAAGTGAATGGTCAGCTTTCAGTCCACATGAGGGAGGGGTGAGCCCCTGAATGCTGGTGGGGTGGTGAGGCCGGCATGAGAAGGGGGAGGGTTTGAGAGCTCTGAGAGCAGGTCAGCAGGACTGAAAGATGGACAGGCTGTGAAGGCTTAAGGGTGAGGGGTCGAGGATGACTCCAGCTTATCCTGAGTGGGAGGGAGGACGAGGGCCAGTCTCGGTTTCTGGAGAGGATGCCTAGTGCAGTGCTGGAGGTGGTGAGTAGCTAAAATCACAAACAACGGTAATATCTTGTTTGACAAGGTTGTGGAGCAACAGGAACTCTCTTACATGATCTCTTTGGTAAATTCTTTGATATCAGTTACTAAAGCTCCACATACACAGATCCCAACATCTGGCAATTTCCTAATGAGCATATACACCTAACGGAAGTAAGTCCAGGCAGACCTTTATTCATCATAACCTCCAACTGAAAACAAGCTAAGTGCCCATCACAAGGAGGGTACGTTGCAGTGTATCTGTACAATGGAATACTATAAAACAGTGGAAAATGAATAAACTACGGCTGCATGTATATAATAATGAGTGAAACTCAGAAACAATGTTGAGCAGAAGAAACCAGATAGAAAAACATTCACCCTCTATGATCCTACACAAAGACACCCACCAGCAAAATTATAGTGTTAGAAGTCGAGATAGGGATTATCTTTGGGGTGGAGAGAGTGGGTCGTGAGGGAGGCCTTATGAGGATGGCAGTGGCCTCTTTTCCTGATGTAGGTGGTAGTTACACAATTTCACTTTCTCAGGGATGTCTTCTCCACTCACCCTTTATAAAATAGACCCTCCATCCATCTCCATCCCTGCACCCTGCTTTCTCTTCTCACTCATCATGACCTCCATGTTATATGTTCACACTGTCTTGTTGACCTCGCCCCACTAATAGGTCAACCCCATGGGAGCAGAGGGTTTGGTCTGTTCTGTTCTCATTACCGCTGTGCTGGAAATGGGCTTGCACATAGTAGATGCTCAACAAATAGTCTTCGTTAATGAAAGACAAGGGAGGAGGCCGTACAGAGAGAGAGGTTGGGGTCAGGAGAACAGAGAGGCAGGATGTGCCGAGGGGCAGGGATGCCTGCAGATATAGGAGAGGAAGCAGTGGATGGCGTGAGGCTGAGTGGGGTGGAGGTGGGCGCGAGCAGGGGATTGAGGGAGGGGCCTTGGCTCTGATGTAGGGGTGCTTCAGGAGAATGGAAGAGACAGTCCAGAGGAGCCCTGAGGGAGTCAGAGGAGACTGCATGGGGGTGCAAGGGGCTGAAGCTGAGCCTTGGGGCCCAGCAAGGGTCAAGACCACCAAACTCCCGGGTCCCCAGCCTGGCTTACAGGCTGACAAAAGGGGTGGATCCTTGTGTTTGGCCAGGGCAAGGCCCTTTTCACTGTGATCCAGGGCATCCTGGAAGAGAGGGTGGGTATTTCAGCGGGACTGACAGATGGGGAGGCTGGGGGTGAGGGGGTCTCCCCAAGATCAGAGAGGCGAGGGTCAGCATGATGATGTTAATGGCTAACATTCCAGAGCACCGATGAGGCCAGGCCCCTGCTAAGCATGAACTGGGCACACCAGCCCTGTGATCACGTCCATTTAACTGACAAGGTTGTGCTTGCCTGGGGCCCCTTCACTGTTAGGACTTGAACCCAAACTGCCCAGTTTCCAGTATCTGAGGCTGCAGCCACTTGCTATATGAGCCAGAGAGGTGAGTGGGGAACAGACAGAGAGTGGAATGCTGAGTTCTGTTGTTAGATGTGGGGCACTTGAGCAGATCAGGCTGGTGGGTGATAGAGAACTGGATGTCAGTCTCTTTCACATCCTGAGGGTCCTTGCATTTACCTGGCCTTTGAACTGGATCTGCACACCTGTGCTATGAGGTGGACCTTGTGAGAAAGCTGAGGTGGGGGCAGGTGCGGGACCTGTCCCGGCTCACTCAGCAACCAGGTGGTGGCGCTGGCAGAACCCCAGGCCCTTCCTGAGTCCTGCCCTTTCACTCATGCCCTCCAGGGTGCTGGGGCGGGGGGGGGGGGTGTGGGGTGTGTGG